CAGAGTGCTACTGGGAATGTAGGGTGAAATGTCAAGTTGTGTGTAAATCTTCCAGTAATCTGTCACGTCCAGGAAGAACTGGGGGAAAGGGACAGATCTGTGGGAATATTGGAGGATTATCCAAGTTAAGAGTTTTGCTACGTGGATTTGGAGATCTCCCTAGAGAATAGGTGAATCTGGAGTCCAAAAGAAGACACCAGAAAGGAAAATCCCTGCCATTATAAATGCACACAACAAAGCAAATAAGCCCAGGATCGGGCAGTATTCTGGTGTATCACACTGCTTAGGCTAAAACTCTGTAAGAGTTTGGGTGAAGTGTACAGGCATGTACAGTCTGTATATAGTGAGAATACTGCAGAGGACCCCCTCCCTCAGGATGGGGAGCACTGTCCTCAGTTAAGGCAGCTTGATGGCCCTGCATAAAACAGGGTGTTAATTCTTATTCCTTTGACCCCAGATGGTCTCTAGCCCTCACTACTGACACTAGCAGAAGGTATTAGTTTAGCCAAATCATGAAAACAGTTTTGTTCTTTAATTTTGTGGGTTTGCTCCTTCTTTGGAATTCTTAAATGTTTCTCTAAACAAATAATCTTATTTGTAAAAAAGACAGTTCTTGCTGACTTTTTTAAAAAAAATTACATAGGTAGACTGTTTTATGTTCTTTATTAGAGTAATAACCCATCTTGTTATGGGGTTAGGTCAATTCATAAAATGATAAACTTGAGAGAGAAAGGGTCTTGACTCTTTCCCACAATAAGCATTTATTCATGTTTGGAAGTTCTTGTTTACATTTGTGCAGAGCCATTATTTGGTAGCAAAAAAGCAGCATGGAGGAGTTACCATGCCATCATATCTTTTACTTGTTCTTGTGTAAAGCAGTATAGATCCTTGACGGTCAACGTCAGCAGAGTTCTTCATGTGCACACCTTTTTGTTTGCATGCATCTGTCATCCCTGCTGAGGGATGTGATACTGTGATATTTTTTTTTTTAAATCTATTATTTAATAATACAAGTATTTTTGAGGAGGACTGGTTTGTATGCTTATAACCTTCTGACACCACAGTGAGATTTCAAATGAAGATATATCAATGTGCATTACAAACGTGTGATTGCTTGTATCATTATGAAATAGATGAAAAAATAATTCACTGCAGTAGTTTTTATCTGAACTGATCAAAACATCTTCCAGTGATTTTTCTAACAATATGTGATTGGAATAACAACTTCACATGTTGTAGAGTTCCATGCTGTAGCTGAGAGGCATGTAAATACAAGCTGCTTATTTGCAAGAAGCTTCCAGATTTGCAATATGATTGCTATGGAAACCACACAATGAAAACCATATAACCATCTGTGTGGTTTGGTAGATTTTGCTGTGTAGCTGAGCTGGTTTTGTTTACTGTTATTAAAGTGCTGAATAGAATATATTAACCCACAAACTGGGATTATCCAAGGTATAAACTAGTATTGTGCAATGACAATGGGTCAGAGACTAGAATACAGTAGAATACCAATTAATAATGGCATTAAATTAGAGTCTAATGCAAAAGATGGTTAAGTAATGTGTTAGGAGAGGACACTGCTAAGTTTATGCATATTTATCATGGAGATTCCATATTCCATTGAAGGAATGCACTGTTCAGTCCAAACTCTTATCCATTTTGTACTCAAGTAGTCTGATTTTTTTCTCCCCTCCCCCTTTAAGAAAAAGAAATTGGAAGGAAAAAACCAGTGGATTAATGTAAAAAGCTCAGCTAGTGTAGAACTTGTTCAATTTTTAAACTGTGTGGATGGTAGGATCATCTATGATTGAATGATTGCTTTTCTGGTTTTTCTTCAGATTGCAAATTAAATAAGTAAATTATTTTCAACAGCTTTCATGGACTAAATGAAAAAACCCTCAACAGATATGGTTAGTTCCTTGTTACACTGTCACCACAAGAATTTTGTAGGTTGTTTGCCATTAGAGTCTCTTGAGTACCAGCAGAGTATGGAACATAACCTGTATGTTAAGGGTTATTTACATCTACAACTCTGGAAGAGTTTACTGGTTTGATTAGTGTTGATTAGTCTCATTTTAACATAGTGAGAAGGTCAAGAATAATGTTTTCTCACTGCAGTGGCAGTGATGGTGTGAAGAAGAGATACAGAGGAAACGTACCAGATTGGTCTGCATGACTCCTCTTACACAGTATCTTAATAATACAGAAGGACTTGTACTGTATTTTTCTTTTAATTTTTGATCTTTTGACTCTATTCCATGTTGCAACACAAACTAGTATGTCACATTTGGCTACAGGCCTAATTCCTGGGGTAATTGAGGCTTCTGTGTTTAAAGGACGTCTCCTGCATTTAGTTATTGCTTTGGGACATAAGACAAGAAAACACTAGTAAGTGTCACAGGTTCTTTTTTTACCACCCTAAGACAGGCCTATTACATCTGCTCCACTGGGAGCATGATTGCATTAGCAAGTAGTGTGGGCCATTTGCAACAGATTCATGAAGCACAAGTTTGTGCTGAGGACCTGATGTTCTCACTGTGCATGTTTCAGAAGAGGTTTCCTATGGAGCCCCTTTAGTCCAGTTCCATGGACTGAATACCTGTTAGCAGCTAGACCATGATCATTGCGGTTCTTGACTACCTCTTCCAGTTTAATTACACCTGAAAGTTCGTCCTCTATGTGACAACTGTAGTGTAAAGCAAAGTGGATAAGTGGGGACGGTTGGGATCTAAACCAGTATGCTAATAGCCTTTGTTTGAATTTGGGACCTTTTCAGTATTTAAAGAGCCTTGGTTGAGATATTTTTTCATCTTCAGGTATGGATCTGGTGAACTCCTGTTCCTAGGAAATGTTTTTCAGGAAGCAGAATGCATATGTTCTAAGTTTTTTCATGAAACCACAATGCAAGCTACAACTACCTTATGAAAAAATCTTTTCAAACCTCCTCTGCTGTTTTGCTTCAGTTGAAATCCCTCTACTAAAGTCAGTCCTCAGTTTAAGATAGTCTGATGACCATGACAGTGATAAAGTCCACAGTACATTTGACACATCAACTGATGTAGGTCCAAACATTCAATAACATGCAATATCAACATTTATTTAATCAATATATAATACTCTGTGTGTTGGATGAAACTGGGTTGCTCTGGAAAAAGGAAGCAATCCTAGAAAATATGACCGATAATAGGATAATGCTACCTGTGAGTGGTGTAATAGTGGTAGGAAAGCCACAGAATGACAGTGCCTCCTAGTGCTCCGGACAGCACATGGGGATGTATTTTTGCCATTTATGCTGCAATTATAAATGTTTAAAATAAACAAATGAGTGTACTTGGAAATGTTCAACAAGTGTTATGCCAAGTGGGAGAATACATTTGAATGCAGTAAATAATTCAGAGTGTTTGTGTTGTATTGCAGCTTCAGATTTTCCCTGTTCTATTGTTGTGTTTTGTTTTTTTTTTCTTTTTTCTTTTTTTCTTGGCTTAAATAATAGTTTATATTCATCTTGACCAGATGTTTAGCTAGTCAGGCATCAGAGACCAAAAACTCTTGCTGGCTTAGTAGGGCAGAATTTCAAAGCTCTTTGTAGAGTGAATCTCATGATGTAATTGTAATATTTGTAGGACTGCACATATAGGTTAGCAGCAATTATGCATACTCATTTTAACAGGTCTACTCTTGTGCTTTAAACATCTGCTTTAATGTTTGCAGGAACAGTCTTGTGAGTAGATTAAGTTTTTACAAGGCTAAAAATCCTTTGAACTGTTGATATAAAATTCAGTCTTTGTCAAAGTAGGTAGGCAATTACATAAAAGTTGTACAATAAGGAACATTTTAAAAGCTGTAAGTTCTGTATCTATTGTCTGTCATTAATAAAATATCAAAATTAGTTGCTGAAATGTGAGTCTTAAAAACAACCATGAATATCTGTATAAGATGTGATGAGTAGCAAAGACAAATAGTTTAAAATGTATTAAAAGTCCAATTCTTGTTTGAGAAGTGGGTTTATCAATATCCTATTTCCTCATTCTGTACAGCAGCTTTGTCAGTTTTGATACGCTATAAAGGCCAAGATAAATCTGTTTCTACTTCCCTATGAACCTGAAGAAAGAACACAGCTAAAATACTTCATAGTTTGTTCCTTTTTTTGCCTCGTCAACAGAATTGTTGACTGTGAAATGTGAAGAGCAGATCTTGTGTCCCTGTATTGAGTGGAGTGTGGATTTACTTAAGTGAGGGTGTGGGCATGAGAGAGTTCCCCATCTGTGCTGGACAGGGAGCACGGAACACATCTTTCGAAACTGCCTGTGGGGATTTCAGTGTTCCAAGCCTGTTAGCCAGAAAACATGCTTCGGAGCTGATTGCTGCCAGGCTTTTTCTCTTTTCTTGTCTCCTAAACTTGCATGAAGTTATTTGATAGAGTCTGGCTTGCTTAAAACCATGGTCACAGTAGGCAGGAGTGCTGAATGAATGACATCTGTAGCAGTAGTGTTCCCATCATGCAGGTGTCCAGCTAGTGTGTCTGTATGACAGTGTTGAAGGTAAGATGTCCTCTGCCTTCTCTGCATACTTCTCTTAAGGACTTCTGAATACTTGCATGGGCTGGGGATACTTTTTCAATCCTCATTTTCCTTTTTTTTTTTTTTTTTTTTTTTTTATCCTGGCAAGAAACGTATGTAGCAGAGTAGGGCCCTCATTCTAATTGTCTCAGAATGACTGAGAAACAGCAGAACTACAGCTCTGTATTATTGCATTCAGAGCAGAGTGAAAAGGGAAACAGATGTTCGCAATTGAGATTTTGAAAGAAAGCTCTTGGATGTTTGGATGGGTGGGGGAAAACACAGAAATAACAACGTTCCAACTTCTGTACGAATGCAAAATAGTAAACAGGGCTTATGATCTGGAAATGTAGTGTGGCTTTCAGACTGATGTGGGCTGTAATTCCTGTCAGCTGAGGTGCCCCTTCAGAGTTTCATTTGCAGTTATGTATTTTGCAGAAGAACGTGTTCCTTCCAAGGCTGAAGTGCCAAGAAAACTGAGCCAGGAGAAAGTTACCACTGTTTCAGGTAATTAAAATCTTTCCTCTTTATTTTGTGTATGCGCTTTCTTTATACATTTATTTTCTTGTCTCTTCCTTTTGCTGTTTTAAAATAATGTTTTTATAGCTCTGTAAAGCTGTCTTTTTCACCTGGGTATTTGATGGCAGCAGAACTGCTTAGTACCACTTAGGATGCATGAAAACCACTTGAGAAGGATTTATAAAGTAAGCCAATTTATACAAGGTATTCCTTCCTGAATTACTTTGTAATGACTCAATTAGCTTTCATTTCTGCACAAAGGAGATTTAGTTGCATAAATTAGCTTATCATCATTGAGGAAGTGTCACTGCTAAAGGACAGTTTATAGATACAACATGCAGTTGCTGTCAAACCTATAAGAATGTAATATAGACATCTGTGTATACTTTGTGCTTGAGCAGAACAGACTTCTGCCATTCAGAGACTAACAGGGGACAACAAGTTGCCCAAGGGACTGGCAATGTAGACGTCTCTGAAAAGGTCAACTTGACACAGGCTCTGACAATCGACCCAAAGCTCTGTCTTCTTTGATAAAAATCAGATAAACTTAAGACCACTAATTGATCTGCAGCCTGTTTAAATGTTGGCCATGCATATCTTCATTGCATATGATTACCACAGAAAGCAAATGAATTGGGTAAGAAATGCCAGAGTCCAGTGACAGCAGCATAAAAATTGGAAAAGGACACAAATGCCCAGAAAGGCTGTGAAGGATATTCTCTCAGCTTTAGCTTGGCAAACTGCCCCTGTGCTAATTATCTCTGGGACTGGAAAAATAACTGTAAACACCATATAAAGTCACATGGCCAGACAACTTTTCTTGACAGAAAGGTATTTCCAGTTATGCTTAAAAACAAGATATATATGCGCTTCAAGGTCACAGACCTTTAGATAAACTATCGGTGATTTGACACAGCAAGTAGAGAAGACTTGCTTCTTATCAGACCTTACACCTTTTTGAGATCTGCTGCATTGTCACTGTGACCTGCACTGACATGCAATTTGACTCTCCTTCCCCCATTGTACATAATACACATAATTCTTTCAGGGCTGTCAAGGAAAGGGTGGGCAAGAAGAGTTCCTTGAGGAAGTAGCTCTGCAGTGCTCTTCCTGTTGCAACATGTGAAGAGGAAACCGAGGCCTGATTTCCTGACCCATACAGGAAAGCAGGAACAGGTTGCTGTGAGGAGTTTAGGTTGCTTTTCTTGGAAAGGAAACAAGAGCCAAGTCATCAGATGCTGTTAGCATTGTGCTCTGCTAAAAACATGTGTGAGACAACATGACTCATTATAGCCATAATATTTAGTACTCATTTAGACATTACTGTAATTAGAAGAGTGTGTTGTCATAATGGAGCATGAGGTCAGTCCAATTATAACGTTGGCAAAAGAATTTTTTTTCACTAATGTATCTTGTTTAAGTTCTAAATGGTCTTACTTTTAAGAAATCAAAACCTTTGCACCTTCATTTCTGAAGAGTTTCAACTGTGGTGAGAACAGCCTTACCAGTCTTACTAGTATTTGTGTAATGTCCTTGAAAATACCATAACAGTTCTCCCCAGATATCAAATTAATTTTAAGCAGTAATTTTCTGATCTGATCTTAGTTAACTACTATTTTTAGGGCTGAGTTGGCATGAGTATTTCTGACAGGCATCACATCATAAATATCTAACCTGACTCAAGAATATTTCATGATTTTCCACACAAGCAGCACATACATTCTTAAATTGCATTTATGGCCTAGCTTTACTAAACCTGAATTTCACAGAAAATATTCTGCATATTGTCTGTGAGCTCAGCCTGGTAAGTGCAAAAAAACCTTTCCTTTTCCCCCACTCTTTTCTTGCCCTAGCTTATCGCTACTTCAATTAATGTGCAGACTTGAGTTATTTTTATTCTTTCAGTCTTGATGCCGACTGTTGCTGCTGGATAGCCTTACATTAATTGTTAGTGACCCAATTATTTAAAAATACCAAAGCATTGAAGAGTTTCAGTTACATAATGTGGCTTTCTGGGTCTTTTTTGCTACTGCTGTCTACCCGTTATAATTTCCACCATCACTGTTTCAGTAAGTGTCATGTTCTGTGCTATCTCAGTGTAAATACTTTGATTTTAGAGTAACTAAGGAACAATAGAAGGGAAGTGAGAAAGATTATACTGAACAGATTGGGCGACATTAGAGGTTGAGTCCAAATAAATACAGCACAATTATTTTGCCTTTATTTCATAATTTTTCTGGCATGTGGGAAAGAGACCAAGTAAATAAGTAACAGGCAGTCTTTGCAGTTTAGGACATCATCAGAAAAAACCCAACTGTGTCCTTTACAGGGTATGTCTCATCTGGGCATTGAGACTTAACACTGAGAGTCTAAATCACTTGTGTAAAACAGAGTCATTCTGGTAGTGTAAATTTTGAACTTCACCTGTCTCTCCATTTTTAAGCCTTCAGTATGGTAAATATTGAGCACATCATCACCAAAAGGGAGGATACAGTAATTTTCCAGAAGTTCACCTCTTTCAAATATTAAGTAGCCCAGACTAGTAATCTTCAAATCTGATGCTATAAACTTTTGAAGAATCTGATCAGAATGGCAAGCTGTTAAACATAATGGACAGTAGACCATAGTGGTAACAGGAAAACATACATGCTTGTTTCTTCACTCCAGAAGCAATGAGTAAGCAGATAATACAACTACTAGCTCTGAGTCACTACTATAGTAGGGTTTGCTAATTTAGATGCCATCAACATTACAATGGAAGATCAGTGGAAATCAGACACAGTCACATTTATTCTAATGATCTAAGTAGTGCATTTCCATACGTGGGCTGTAATTCCTGTTTTTATTTTGATCAGCTTAGTTTTCTGCCAGGTTTGTGCTCAGGAATGACAACTGCCAGAATTGGCACAAGGAAGGGGCCAGGAATGGAATGGACTGCAGTTAGATTGGCTTAGGCTGCAATGGCACAGCACACTTCTGAAGTATCTACTTTTAATCTGTTTTTCCAGGTTTTGTTTTTTCTGTCTATTGAGGCTGTTAGAATATTCTTATGTTTGGGGTTGTTTTTTTGTTTGTTTTTTGGTTTTTTTTTTTTTTTACCTTGAGTAATCCATGGGCATTCTCAAATTTTAAACAGTCTACATCATTTGAAGTGCATGCTTGAGTGATATACTTGTCAGATTTTTTTAAAATGAACTGTTCACCTTTCTTTCTTCAAGCACGTATTGTCAGGTGCCAGTATTTTTTAGTGAAATAAGCAGTCTGAACCTACCATCAGGAAGGCTGGCAGCTGTTGCTGTTTGATCTGTCAAGTAAACTCTATAAAGTGTTTTCATCAGTATATTGGACAAAATACTATTATTGTTACTGGAAAAACAAGAGATGGCAGAAGAAAACCATGAAGAATTCTTTGTGGAAGAGTTTGGAAACTGTTGGATAGTTGTTCGTCCAGATAGCTGTCATGGAATGAAAGAAGTATTTCCTGGAAAAACAAGCTATCCAAAACCCTGCTCAGCCATTTCTTGTGATTGGTAATATTAAAAGCAGTGGGTAGGTAAAAGGAGACTGCTTTTTACCCTCTGCTACACATTTTAATTTTTTTTATCATGTCTTATTCATATTTGTGGCCTAAGAGACCATGCATTTGAAATATGGCAGACTTTAGTTTAGCAGTTATGTCATTATAGTATTTTTAAGGCGCAAAACATTTCACAGTGTGTAAGAATAGAGTGTAATTGTGACAGAGTAATACCAGAAAATCATTATCTTTTGAATCTGAACTCTAATGGGCGCATAAGTTCTTGATGCTAAATCCACTAACTGTTTTCAGGTATTACATGTGTTTAAGAAGCTCCACATAATTTCATTACCATATAAAGCCCAAATTCCTTTACCCAGGTCCCCTGGTTTTGTTCAGATCCTCAGAGTCAATCAGTGAAATTTGGCAGGGTCTTCTCTAACTGAAAGAGTGGCTGAAGTAAGAAAGAATGGGCTTGTATTTTACAGAGCTTTTTTTTGCTCTACCTCTGTGTTTGTGAAGCACTATGAATCATTTTATGAAGGATTTTTCCCTTTAGATGAATGGATTCTGAAGTTAAATTTACAATTGGCTCTTACACTTGAATAGGTGCACTTGCAGAATTTGGAGAAACTTGTGCTGGTGGGTATGAGAGGGGTTTTCAAATTTGAAATGAACACTTGTTGGAAGACCAGCATGGTTATTCACAAACTTACACTTTCCCTATTTTTCATTTCTGTACTCCTGACATATCGGTATACAGTTTTCTGAGAACTGTGGCTTTCTGATTTAAACAACTCTGTCTTACGTTGAATTCACATATGAGGGCACAGAGCCATGGTTAGTCGTTGGGCAACATCTTCACAGTAGCAGTAAGCTTATTTTAACATGCATCTTTCTTAGTGTTGGCCATGTTATTAGTTGAGTTGATTTCTCACTTTAAGGCTTAATTAAATGCTCGTAGTGAATATCTAGGGAGAGATGTTGTCTCACCTGTGGTGGGATCTTCTCTGTTGCTGACATTCCCCATGTAACTCCATTAGTGTTAACAAGAGTTACTTCAGGCACATAAAGATAAGAACAGACCTCAAAGTGGTAAAGATCAGTGTGAAAAGTAAATTTCAGTGGAATTCTGAAGAAGTAAAAGTCCTGATTAATGTGTTTTAAACCAAATCAGTAAGACTGCCGAAAGATCTGAAAGGTAGGATATACGGAAATAGCTCTTTTAGTTGTTTCTCATGTGGCCTTATGTTATCTTTTACAAGATAGAGCTGGGAACTGTGATCAGTGCTGTATCAAAAGACTGAGGAGAGATTCTGATTTAATATTTATCACAAATTAATTTGGTGCTAAGCTATGTTACTGTTTATGATTGCCTAATACTGAATTGGTGAATAATGAACTGGCAAATGGGAAGGACCAAAATTTGGAGGTGCAACATTTCAAACTGTTTCCACCTTCCTCTTGAAATGATTCTGTTTATGCATTTTACAATAACCATATTTCCTCTTTCTGAATGGTCGGGAGTTTTTATATGTGTATATATTGCTGCTTTTGATGTGATAGAAGAATTTGTGCACTGGTACTCAGAACGCCCCCTAGTGCTGTGTAGCACGTGGTAGCTACTAATCGCCAGTTCATGGAAAATTAAATGGTTGCTAACTTGCATAGCAGCTTTAAATTCAAGGTTGTGAATATTTGGCCTTGTGACCGTATTGCCATCAAAACAAGATAGCACAGAACACAGACTGAAATGGATAAATAGAAAACAAGCTCTTCATGCTCATATAGAGATTATTAAAATTAAAATCTAAGTATTTGTCAAAATAGGGAAAACCACAACTTGAATACTGCTGGTTTTTTTATAGCGTGACACTTTCTATCGCTTGATACTTGACATTTTAACTGGATTTTTTCAGTAATAAAATGAACCAATCATGATTAAATCGTAAACTATAAATAATAGTGTAGAGTGCTAACGACATGCAAATGTAACTGGTATATGTTGGAATAACCAGCAAGCCTGCTGTTCAAGGATCATATAACAAAACTAAGATGACAGCCTTGATCCAGCCAGTTCAGTGATATTTATGTTATCAGAATTAGAAGATAGCTTTCCAGTGATGTAAATTATTAGTACATATACATTCTGTCTGGTTAGTGTATACATAATGTAACTGGTCATCTTAGCGGTATTGCTTACATTCTTTTTGCATTAACTCATCAGACTCCATTCTCATGGAATTAAAAACAGGAAATAGTTTGCAGTGTAACAGAAGCACCCAGTGTATTTAACCATGTGTAAGCGCTGTGTTTCAGTAGATGTACTCTGTATTGTAAGTGTATGACAAAGCATTTATTACTGTGTTATTGCCGTATTACAGAGCAAAGAGTGCTAAATAATCAATCAGTTAATGGTCTGTATGGCAGCTTGAACACAGCACATCCATTGTGCTTATGCTGTTAGAAGGATGAGTTTATGACTGTAGTGTAGTTGCATGTTTAGCCAGAGCTTAATGTCCTAAACTGGAGCTGACACAAATATTTTTAAAATGCAGCTTCAGCAACAGTTTCCAAGTTCTCCAGTATTTCAGAAGGAACAAACAAGGATTATCTCAAAGGTTCTCAGAGAAGTTATTTAGTTTTGTTGGAACAGGAGAGGGAGGGGGAGTGTATCACAAAATACTTCCTTTGGCTTCCTTTCACAGTTTATTATTAATTATATTCTAGCAATTTTATCAGTTTCAAGTTGGGATAGAAAAATGGCTTGCTGGAAACATATTAGTAGAGGAAAACTAGCTGCTTTAAGTTGCAGCTGGAAAATGCTTTGAAAACCTGTAGCTACACGTCTTTAAGTGATACAACTTGCCAGTGAAGGGCTTGCATATTAAACTCGTTTTCCACTTGCTTCTGTGAAATGAAGGAGCTGTTTCTGGAGCTAGCAGTAAGAAATGTGCACTAATAAAATGCTTTGTAGTATGTGGACATTTAAAGAGTAACTTTAGTCAATCTGTATCTTTTTGTAATTAGATGCCATTTTTTTTGCAGATAGCAAAAATACCGATTATGCCAATTTCTATCAAGGTTTGTGGGACTGCACAGGAGATGTACCTGATGAGTTGACATTTAAACGTGGTGACATTATCTACATTCTCAGCAAGGTATGGGATGCTTCTGGGGTTACACAGTTGTTGAGAGCGATGGCAGAAAGGTATATTCCCACAGTTCTGTGGGGGGAAATTGGCATTCCCTTTCAGATCCATAGTTTGCAATCAGATATTCACTGCAATTAATTATTTTGTCAAATGAACTATAATCATATTTAAAACATAGCTGTGTAACAGGAATTAGCTGAAAAGCATGTTTATTTACTTGTTAAATCTTGGCTACCATTTGTTAACTGATTTAACGGGAGACAATGTGCTTTCTGCTTGTGAAAGTTAACCTTGTAGAATTCTAAATTATCTTGTATGTTGGTTTTTTTTGTTTCCTGTTTTATATTCCTGACTGTGCTGATTCTGACTTTTTGAGCATCTTGCTACAGAAGATGGTTTGTTTTTTTGAACTATGCTTTCATCTTTGTATGTACACTGTAATTGTTCTGACAGCTCAGATTCCAAATTTGTTTGCCCTGACAGATTTGGGCAATTTTTAATTTACTGCTTTCCTGTTTGCAAAGCAAATGAGAAATTATAATTCCTCTTCTCTAAAGTGATGATAAGCGGTATAAGCGTGAAATTTTATTTTACTTTAATGTTGGTTAATTGTCTTATTTTTCCTTAACTCCTCCAACAAAAACAAAGCCTCTCCTAAAATACGTATCTCATAGTCCATTGAACTCTACTTCTGAACAATTCATCAAAGGAAATTTCTCTTTTCCTCACATATTAGAAAACAGCTGAGCTTTTCAAGTTCTCATTGAAAAAAACTCACCTTTTAAAATATATGTAGAATATATATCTCAGATGTAATTGCTGTTCAGTATAATTAATGCCAAAGATATTGTAGGTCATTGAAATATACAAGTAGGTGCATGAAAGTGAAAGGCATCTGCTTGTCTTAAACTCTTCAGTTTTGTTACAGTTGCTTTAAATCTTCAGTGATACCTTTAGCTACAATGTTTCCGGATAATAAATGTAACAGCTTCTGTTTAAATAAATGTAAGATTTATAGATAGAAAGATGGTCCTATATAAAAATATGGAAGATATATTACTGCTGGTAATGTGACTGTGCATGTCTTTTGAGGTATTTCATTGTCACTTAAACTAATAACTGAATTGCATTACTAAAGGCTGGATAACACTCTTGGATAGGGCAGACTTTCAAGCAGTTATACAGCACTGAAGAATGGTACTAATTTAAAATAACCATCTCTTCCCCCTCTCTCTGAAACAAGCTCATGAACAAACAGATTCCTCTGTACAAGTTAGGCCTCTTTGTGGGTTGTGCTTAATATTATGGGTACTATAAAATCTTAATCTTCAGCTTGTAGGTGAAAAAATAATTTGCTACGCCTTGCCCAAAAGAGTGAGAAATTGAATTTAAAAAATGGAGCAGAATAGAAAAACAGTAGCTTAAGATGTCCTCTGTATATCAACTGTTTTGCGGTCATGCTGTGATTAATCCGTAATCGGTCCTTGAAAGAGGCTTACTGCTGCTTCAGATATATAGAGTCTCTCTCTTTGGGAATGATTTCTACTCCAAAATACAGCCCAGAAAATTCAGCCCTGTTTCGCTTTAAGATTGTTACAGCTTTTTCAGAAAAATGAGTGTTGGCCACTACTGTCAGCTCTGAATTTAGGGTCCCTGGAGGGGAAAGTGCTAAGGAATTATCCATCTTAACTCTCCACTTGATTCAGTTTCAAGGTCTGATTATTTACGAGCTCTTTGTCTGGTAAGTGAAAATATAACCAAAGGAAAAGTGAACCTAACCATCCTGAAGTGGGTCAAGACTTTTCTTCAAAAAATATTTCCTAATCCACTACATTAATACTCCGATTTTGTGGCCGTCGGCAGGAATCCTTGGCAATTTTTTTATTTTTTCACACCATCTAGTGGTTGAAAAAGAGAGATGCAGGTACTGACAGGAGGCAATGTGTATGGATCCAAAATGGTGTCATAAATTTAGCTTCAGCTTGAACCTAGCTATGGCTTTATTGCCTTTCTATCATATGTCAGCCAGGTATGAACATTACTCTTGAAAATCACATTTTGCTGATAAGGAAGTAAGTACGGGTATAGCGGTATTATAGTAGGTAGGGTGAAGCATTAACAAAATATTGAACATATTTGTGCAACATATAATAGTTCTTTGTTTTACGATGAAATGTAAATGTTATAGCTTGCTCTGACGAACGTGGTAGGATAGATATTTGTCTCTCCCAGCAATAGTTATACCAAAGCAATGTATTTCTACCTCCTTTTCACATACCTTTATAGAAATTAGGAGAAAAGTGACTATTTTGTTTCCAAGAAATTATATCATTAGTACAAGAGAAGTAATTATGAACCAGTTTAGCAAATTTGAGCGTTGATATAATTTAAATAAAGCAAGAGGAGCAATATGTTACATGAAAGTTTCTAGGTGAATGCCTTTTAGAAGAATGAGCAAGGTTTCAGTCTGGCAGTGTTTACTTCCTAAAGCATTATGCAAAGACAAGTTCCCCATAATTTGCTTTAAACTGAGCATCAAAATTCAGTGTTAGTACAACGAGCATGGTTTGCATGCTTGTACTCTGGTAAGACAAATACCTATGCACGACTACTGTAATTACTGTAGAAAAGCAGTAAAGTGTGTTTTCCTTGTTTCAAAGGTGCATTCAAAAACTATTTTAGCTATTATCTAAATATTTATGTCCATTGTGGCTTTTGTGTGGCAGCAGTACTACAGGCTATTACAAAAAATATCCCCAAATTTTTTTCTAGGTTTTTCTACCTTTGAGAATTCCTTCAAAAGTTGAGTTTTTAATTTGAGCAGAATTAACAGAACTGTTGCAATAGTACATGTTAACTTTTCTTAATTTTTAAAAATGGTTAACTTTTTAGATAAATTGATCAATGTATATGTACAGGTAAACTCATACTATTATAATTTATAATATTCTTCAATATTCAAGTGGCTTTTTAAACTTACATTATGAATCATGCGAACTTTCAGAAAACTATATGCCCCTTCCTGTTTTGCAGTAGAAAACATTTTATAGCTTTACTGATAGAGAGACTCATTAATAAGATTTCTTAGTTAATATTGACTTCTTAGTTAATATTGACTATTAGAAATGCAATACTTGGGCGTCCTGTTTTCTAAAAGGATGATTGCTCTTAACTCCTGCTCATTTATGGGCTTGCCTTTGCTTTCAAGCCCATATGATAAATGGGGAAACAAACTGTGACATAACAATCCTTTTTATAAATCTTCCATAGCTCTACCCAAGAAATCAATTTCCAGAAACAAAGACAACTGTGAGTGGAGGTAGCCTATTACTTTTTTTTTTTTTTTTTTTAAAGTTTGGTATGCACAGTTTATGCAAGTGCAGCACTAACAGTGTTTGTTTGTTTGCTTTAGGTGCATGTTTTGTGTTGGGAAATTCCTTAGTTTCATCAGCCAAATGCAAGTAGTAATGGAAAATTTCTTAGAAGTTAGCAGGCTCCTACTTACTCGATTTACTGGCATTTCTTAACTTTTAAACTAATTTCATTCCCATCTCATTTATAATACAACAAATAATACTTCAAAATCTGAAATTATATCTCAAACTGGAATTCTCCTTCCCTGTTATTATTTCTATACATGCCAGTGCAATATAATGCTGCTTACTCTGGTATTTATGATTAATGGAAATCTCATCTATGACTTAACCCTTTGTTCTAGAATTTTCCATGAGAGTATTAACTTGATATTTAGATACCCTTTATTCAGTGATTGTACATTTCCAGTGGCAGATTTTTATTCTTTCAGTACAAGAAATTGCATTGAAATTGTATTGAAACTGTTAAAATGCTCATATCCCAACTTGTATGTTTTACTTAGTGAAAAGACAAGCAAATAAATCTCCATAGCTCAGTTTACTGCTCATGAAATAAAGTACAGTTTAACAGTGCAACTGTTTCATAATCCATGTGAGCATTTTGTACTTTATTTGGATAATCTTAATAAAATGTATTCATTCAGTATTTTTCAAAAAGATGTGAACGGCATCCTAAATTTCTGAGTGTTTTCTTTTTTTCTGTCAGTCTATTTTCTCATACTGAGATCTGTATTTAACAGTAATTTTTCTTTGCATGACTGTGCTGCCCATGTCTACCTTAGCAAATAAAGAATGCCAATATGACCATATTTGCAGAGTGAAACACAGTGTTGAGGCCTCAGTGTCCACACCGTGTATTTTCAAAGGGGTTTGATGTCCAAAGAGGTTTAGCCTGGTGTTGTGGAATGAGAACACATTAGTGGTTGGAACATGTTCAAGTGCGTCTTCCATTTTGGTTTAATCTGAAAGTAATGTAGCGTGTGTTCTCTGAGACTGATGGCTCTGCGAAGAGAGCCAGGGTGGGGAAAGTGGGAGCACTGGGAGATTGACTGCGGTGGGATGCTTCTGATTCAAACTAAAATGCCATACTAAGTTGTACAGTTCCTTCTCCTGGCTTGTTTAGGTATATTCCTTCCAGAAAAAAATTAAAAAGATGCATTTCTAAACAGCAAAGGCCTTTAAATGGAAGGTTAGTTAAGACAGACTAATGCAAAGTGACTCTAGCGCTGTTGGTTTGCATACTGATAATATGTAAGCATTTACTTAACTGATTAGAAAAAGTTTTGGCATTGTGTCATCTAATGGAAAATAAAATGGCCCTTCTATCATTCCAGGGTGTTTTCAGGAGCCAGTTTTGGTTCAGAATTCAGTCTGCTTACCCTGATTTATATTGGAACTCTTTAATTGGTGTCTTATTTTGTCTCATGTCATTGCAGGGAATAAAACCTAGTAACCGCAACCATACAATAAATCTGAGGCTTATATTCTTAAAGATGACCATTTTATTGCTGTCTTAAAACAACTCTACTACCTGTGAAGAAGTCTCATTCAGTTATCTAAAACATTTGTCATTTTCTGCTTTTTAGAGAAAATGCTGTTCTGTGCCAAGAATGCTCCCTGGTTGATAGTGTATCATTCAGCAATTACACCAAAGCAAGTTCTGAAACTTTTTAGCTGGTGTGAATCTCCTGGATGGATTAGAGTTGTCTTAAAATATTATCTTGCCAAAAGTGCCCCCCAGGATATTCTTTGAAAAAAATTTCTCTCTGCTTCCCGTACATCTTTAGCTTGATAGAAGAGGCTACTTATTTAAACTCCAAATGAGACTATAGATATATTTTGCTTTTCAGTTTCAAAGTTTGCAGATCTCCAGCCCATGAGTTAATATTAGTTATAGTGCCACTGGAAGAGGGCAGGAGCAAAATCTTGATTTCACACACTTCAGCTGTGTTTTTTTTTAAATACAACTCCATTGTTTTCTTCAAGGCATTGAAACACAATGACGATTTTCAGCAACTCTTTCTAAAAAAATAGTAACTAAAAAAACCCCACCCCACAAACACCAAAAACATACCATATGTATTAAACAATAGGGACTAATTGCACAAGGACTAGATGTTCTCAACTTTTGCTAAAGTCAGTAGAAGTTAATAGGGTGCAAAGCATCTGAAGATGCTCATTTACACAGAGGATCTGTTCTAAAGGTAGAGACTGTTTTGGAAATCCTCTTGTGTATAAAAAATTTTCTCTTCTCATCTATCAAAATTCTTTATCTAATACAAAACCCTTGGATTTGAAAGATATCTTTAAAAAAACAGGTAGTGTATTTCCACCTACTGTGTTTTCCCCAAGTGCAAAAACTTATGATCTGTGTCTCATGGAGTCATATGTACATACACATCAGTGCAGTGAAATTGGTGGGATGAGGACAGGGAAACACGTCCGCTCACAGTGTGTTCAGATGAGAGCATTTAAGGAGCCTGTAAACCCTGATGGCATTTTTTCCCCTGCTGTCATAGCATGCTGTACAGAAAATGTTTTGCCAGCATGTTAAATGTTAAGTCATAACCTGTTCCTAGCTGCCCCATGAAATTACTTCACTTTGGTTAATAAATTTCTGCTGGGGAAAAAAAAACACAACCCAACACTCTGACAGAGTGAAAACACAGAAGTAGCTTAGAAAGCATTTGGTCATTTGTTAAGGTTGTTGGTTTGTATTATTTGGCATAATATATTCCACTGCCTGGTGCTTGTCTTCCAGGGGTTGTGGTGGCCCCTTCCTCCCCCCCACCCGGGCCTAACATTGCCTGGTATGGCAAATGTGCTCCCAGTCACATGGCAGAGCCGTGGCCGCACACTTGTGCATTCTCCTCATTGCAGGGCAGCTGGATCTGGCCCTGCCCCCCTCTCCTATCCCTCTATTTGCCTTGGAGCAATTCATTTTGCAGTTATTGAATTTCTTTGGAGAGTTATTTTCATACAGCGAGCATCACAGCACCTCTGGATCTTGATAGCATTTCTACATAAGGAGAAAGAAGCTTTGTGTTAGTAATTACCTAACATTGTCAGGAGCTGACTGCAGGCCTCTTTCTAGTGATAACAGAATAACCACATAATGTAGCTTTATAGCACATGATTAATAGAAAATAATTACACATCCTACAAAGGGATGCAATATTTCTTATAAATTGACTACAATGGTTTCCTGTAGATTAAAGGACTCTTTATTATTTTATCAGTCCTTCTGAAGTATAGTCGGTTGCCTATGTTAGCAGTGATGTTAAGAGCTGAATGCAGTGAGGGATACCAGATGGTAAACCCAGTGGTACCTGAGATCTAAAGCTGATGCTTGCAAAAGCATTGTGCTTCCCAACTCTTAAAAATTCATGTAAAACTCCTAACTCTATTAATATCTTTCTACATATTAAGCATTATTTCCCACAACTGTGGGCTTTAGCCTTTTATACTACACATCTTAAGCAGCAGTAATAGACATATGGACCTCACAACAGCAGTGTATTAATTAAACTATGTTCCTATGAAGGAGTTTAGAATTGATAATGTTGATAGGAAAAATACATCATTTTGGATTTTATATGTGACTTCAGGAGAGGACAGGGGACTGCTTATCTGCCTGACTAGTAAGGCCTCTTTTGGGGTACTGAGGACAGAAAGGAGTGGTTAGAAGTTTAAAGAGAAATGTCTGTACTTTAATCAGTTTAAAAGGGAGTGCCATCTAATTATTCTAAAACCTGAGATTAAAGTTTTATATTCTTGGGAGCCAGGTATCTGCATTATATTTTTGTTCAGACTTCTGTAGACTGCAGATAGTTTAATTGGGATTCATGTTGCTCTTGAGACCCATGCGAAGAATAGTAATGTAAAGTAAAAGCTTCTGTGTTGCGATATTGTCTGTGTGGTATAATGGTTGCAGTGAATCCTTAAATTAGTTTACTAGTCTGTTACATCAACATTCATTTCATCTTTTCACTTAGCTTCATGCCAGAGCAGTAAGTGGTGTATTAGTAAGTAGCAAAACCCAGAAAGTTTTCAAAACAGCAGCATGCTTTTAATTTTAATTTGAGGTATCTGAATTGTTTCTTTAAAAACAATTGTTTCTAAGTTCATGTAGTGTTGCTAAGTGGAACATTTTCAATGGATAATGTAGTCCACAGGCTTTTTCTATGCCATTTGTCATATGCAATTTAATGACCGCTTAACTAAGCCACTTCCCTCATTTCATGTATTGTTTGTTTTTTTGGCTGATGTCTAGCAAAACTTGCTTAATCACTCTTGTCAGTCACTTCACGAGTTCCATGTAACAGTTTAAAATCTTTTGTTGCTTTCTCTTGGAGAGATTTATTGCTGAGATTCCAGTAGTATACGTGAGTACTGCTCCTTTCAGCAATTTCCCTCTTCAGTCTAGAAATCCAGTGTATTGTGTGATAAACCACAGATTTTTAAACAGGCTGATCTGGAAGATTATAAACCTCAGTGTCAGGGTATTATTTAACTGGTAAGAATTTGGGGTGTAATATGTACCCCCATGGGAAAGGTTATGAGCAGTTCTTAACTTCTGTGAAGAGCAGTTGCACTGAAGATTAGGTTCAGATACCTCTAGACTTTCAGACCAGACTCATCCCTGAATTATTTTTGCAGCTTTTTCATTTCTGCATTCACATCATAAATGAAGCTTTTCCTGCTGCTCTTTATGTGTATTTTCTTTAAATCACACTTACTGCAGTATTTTATGGATACTAGGATAGAATCTTTTAAATCACCAATTCACTGTGAAGGAAGAAAATGTTTAATTTAAGGTTGGTGTTCAGCCTTCCTCAGTAAGAAAATAAAAAAGTGTGTGTATGCCTTCATGCAAATGTGTTTTTTTTAAAAAAAAACCACTCAAAAGCCTGGGCCCACATGAAAGTGGGCCATCAACAGGGCTTCATCGTAGTTAAGCACAGGGAGAGCTGAGTACACTAAGCACCTCATAGGACCCTAGAGAACTCTGGACCAGACAAAATATGCCAGCAGCAAATCATTATAGCTCAGGATCTAATGAAACTCCATTAACCCTTAAGCTCCACTTGACTATTTATAACCAAAAAACTTTATCTACAGTCAAAATAATAGCTTCATCTCAGTAGGACCATTAATTCAAAATCCTACAGCCTTTTGCTTTTCTCATCAGAAGAGCAGCATAGCAGGAAGCAGATGTTGCTTATCAGAGATATCTGTGTATTTTGTGTTTTCCATGTTTGTTCCAAAGTAATTTCTATCTTACTAATCATTCAGTTTTGAATGGGGTCTCTGTTTTAATAATGCTTCATTTGTAACTCAATATATGTGTGTGTGCAATTTCAGCTGTTACAATTTATTGAACCGCTGTTAGGATTGATCTTAAAATATTTACCTCATAGCAAAAAAATTAAATTTGGATCCCACAATACTCTTACTTGGTATTGCTTTTGGAAGATATTATTTCTTTAAACTATTATAATTCATTTTGTTTCATATTTATCTCACTAAGCCTAAACAAATTTCAAACAAAAGTACATTAGTCATCTGTCAGACATATGAGATCTGCTGTAGAATTTTCTGCAAGCCTAAAGCAATAGTAGACTTTGTCCATAGAAAGAGATTATGATTAGATATATAGCGTTCCCTTCCCTTCACCTGAGCCAAGTAGTTTTTAAAACAAGTTGATTGTAAGTTTCTTCTTGTTTAGCCTTGTGATACTGAAAGAATCCCAGTTGATTATTCTATGTCAACATTATGCTGTTAGATTTTAGTTCCAAAGATAAGGTTTTTATATTTGTGATGAATAGAGGATGGAGAGGGCTGCTATTTTTAGTAGGTGTTACAGAGAAGCGTGGCCATAATTAAGAAATTTTCCTGAGTATGCCTGGCCTTTTTAAAATTTAACTTTGCCTAACTCTGCATGTGAATGCCTCTAACAAAAAGATATAATGTTTTAATTTTCTGTTGAAATCATTATAACTGTATATAAGAAAAAGCATCCATAAGGAGTTGCATACAAAACTCTATTGCATTTATATCAGACTAAAGGTTAATATTGCATATTGTTTTCAATTAGGAGTACAATAGATTTGGCTGGTGGGTAGGAGAAATGAAGGGAACCATTGGCTTGGTGCCTAAAGCCTACATAATGGAGATGTATGATATTTGAGAGGCCTGGGTAAGTACATTTTAATCCAATCTTCTGTAATGGCTTATATGTTCCCTTGTTCTCTGTTTCATAAGTATTTCTTTCCTGGAACCTTTGTAGGAGTCCTGTTAACATAAAGATTATGGCAAAATACATTGAAGCTTCAATTAAAGCACTTTTTCTGGGATCTGTATGAAATATTAAACCACAGTGTACAAAAGATTATGTATTTTAGAACTACATTCCTTTTGCAGATTTTTTTTTTTAAATGGTGTGCTTTCTAGTTAGTTTTGTTACTTTAGTAATATGTATGTATCTATCTGTGCACTGAACTGTGGAAGGGGATAGATATTTGCACTGGGTTTGATATGCATGCTTGAGGTTTTTTGGTTAATGATGAACTTTCAACTTCCCTCTCCTTAATCAGGAGAAATCTGCGCTTGAAATCAAGAGTGGTGTGCAGCTGCAGTTTACAGACCCGGCCTCTGAGAGAAGAAGATTCTGCCGTACACATTTTGTGGTTTCAGTGAATGTAGTCAGGTCGTTGCCTTGTGTATATTAAACATTAAAACTGTAATTGATCATAATTCTGCGGAAATGTTTTTCTTAGCCACTTCTTATAGAATTGTAATGCAAGGAAATGAAATAGATGATAATTAACATATGGGGCACAAGCAGCCAAATACTGCCTGTTGCTCTTTTCTTAAGCATATTAGCAGCACTTTGTATAGCTATAGGTTTCTGTTCTTTCAGGGAATTTGGCTATGTTTTCCTGTTCCTCAAATTTAGAAAAATTAAGCTGAACTTCGAAAGTAGAAAACTATTAATCAGTTCACACATGCATTAACCTTTTAATGCTCACTGTACATATTGTGCGGTTTCCTAGGAAAATCAAGGAAAATTTATGTGTAATATTGCAAGTCTTCAGGGTATTCTGCTTCCAAAAGTTTTTGTATTGTGTTTTAGCCAATGATTAATTTTTCTCATATATTTAATATTGCATTGTTAATTAATACTTTGTTACTACTGATTATTGTGCTGATATAATAAATCAGCTGTGTGGTAATACTGCCCTGATACCATTGTGACTTGGAGATATTAATTATGTGAAAATTTGTAAAAAGATAATATATAAGCCCCACAATTTTTGCTAAGCGAGCATGTACCTAAATGGCAGGTAAGGATGATCTTTGTCCGTGGTAGTGTGAAATATTTTATTTGTACCTTACAGACACTTTCACAGAGTCAACTGGATACCTTGTTGGTATGTGGAACTTCTGATACAAGTTGGGCAACAGGCATCTTCAGCTCTACAAGGATTAGTAACAGATGCCCAGAGTCTTGGAGTCAAATCCAGAACTTTGTGGCTAAAAGCATCAGTTGAAACATAAAGTACACTAAAATACTATCCCTTGTGGACAAGGGGTTGGGCAAGTCAGAGTTAATACTTTAAATCCTCTTGTTTTCGAGATGTGCTTTACCATTAGCATGCAAGATCAGCTTTTTTGAATCCTCCCACAGGCTTGATTTGTGAGACCCTTAATCTGCCAAAGTGACAGGTCAAGGCAGTCTGCGAATTGCTGAGCCTGTGCAGGTCCCCTTGTAGTTGCTTGTGCTGTTTATGCTTCAGGCGGGCCCTGAAAGCACTGAGAGTGTAAAAGGTAATGTTAGTCTGAACTCGGAGTTAGATCCTTTTGGTAAACTAAGATGTTGGGCTTTATATAAGCTAATGTATGGTACTTGATGGTGCCCTGGATTCTAACAGGAGTGAAACAGGGTACAGACTTTTGTTGTAATTTTTTTAAAAAAGAGATAGTCATTGAAGTGGATTCTGTACGTTATCAGTGAAGCATTAAAATGATAGATTATAGTCTTCAGATCTTTTACTACTTTAATTTATCAAGCGTACTTGTGGATTGTGTACAGAATGTGAAGCGTTAATATCACGGCTAGAAAGCTCCCTCTCTCTTGTTAACATGGCAGCGTCATAAATCTGCCCACCGAAATGTCTTTTTATTAATTATGGAATTCCGAATTCTGCCACCACCTACTTTGGGGGGAGTAAATCCTCCTCCCCCCCCCCTTCCTTCTCGCTGAGACGAAGCGCGAAACTTGATTTAGGACGGGAGCAGTGCGGGGACGGCGCGGGGGAGCCGGCGCTGCCGGGCCCGGACGGGGCGAAGGATGGACGGGCGCAGGCGGC